TGTGTGTGTGTGTGTGTGTGTGTGTGTGTGTGTGTGTTTGTTTCTTCTTTTAGAAGTCTCACATTCTTCTTATCTGGAATTCAAGCTGGCAACTTTCCACTGACTAATTTACATAAATCAAGACTGCCTGCTCGAGCTAATCCACTGAACCACTTTACAAACCTTTCACTGAACAAATCATTTGGTTTAAATCCAAACACTTTCGCTCTTTGAATTCCTCCGAGCCGACAGATTTCTCTCCCTCACATGAATTAGTCTGTGTTTGGGACACAAGGGGAGGGTTCACGTGTTTAAGATACCAACCCTGTCTCTTCCTATTGGCAGTGGATGTGCTGTGTACATGTTCCTCTTCCCATCGTATCCAGGCTGCCGGTCTCCAAAGATCTGCATCTTGAAGTGCCGCACCATTGTGTCCACCACCTCCCTAGAAGGCAGAGACACGCGCACACACACACACCGGTGAGGCAATATTTCTATAAACAAAAACTTCTTGCACCAGAGAGTTTCTTCCCAAGTAGCCTGAGATTATGACAGATACAGATGCAATTGACCTTTCAAAATGATAAGAGACGAGAGAGAAGAGAAATTTTGCTAAAAAGTTTAAGGTTTTTACCTGTTGACCCTCCGAGGCCGTTTCTCAGGCTTGATGTCGATATCATAGTGATAGACATCAATCTTGGGAATCTGCACCTGGAAGTGGTTGGCAAGGAGCCGGATGGGTTTCCCCACCGTGCCGAGGCCGGGACGCCGCGGAGGCTGAAACAGAGAGGGAGGGGCTGGTGGGCCTGCAGAGAACGGAGAGAAAAGTGGTTTTCTTTTAATAAGCAGTGACACACCGAACAATCCTCTGCATGACACTGTTGGCTTAAACTGACCCAGCAACTAATACATGTCAACACTTTCACTTTCTTGAGTTTAAATGGTGAATACACACACAAAGTCTTTTATCAGTTTTACATCACATGTTAGAGACACTGCTGAACCCTCACATGGACAAGTTGCGGAACTTGTCCCGAGTTGCTAAACACGTGTATTCTCACATAGAGCCACTCTGGAAATGTTCAGGCAAACGTGCGGACATCAGTGCATGGCTGAAAGCAGCATTCGTTTTGTATTCTAATAAGGGTGGTGGGAGCGAGGACGCATTCATCTCTTCATTAAATGTCAAATTTGAAGGATGAATGTGCGGCAGACGCCAAGCTTGTTCCAAACCATCTCATCAGTGACACCTGCTTGAATGCACTGAAATGGCCTCGCATGTATACGCTTTGACTGATGTGCCACTGTGGTGCCTGACCTATGTGGGTCAACAAGGGGCTGGCGAAACAATGACAACAATTATCCTTCGGCCCGCCCCCAGCTCCACCCAAATACACAGGGCTCCCACCCCTCACGCCGAGAGACAAAGGGCGAGATCCTCTCAGACAGACAGCAGCAGGGCCATATGGAGGGGAGCCACGCGGAGGGTCTGGGATTACCGTTAAGAAGTGCACGCCACACACACGCATCCCATACACTTAACATATACTATGTGTTCGTGTATGTAGGCAGGTGTGATACCTGTGAATCCTACACTGCTGCATTAGTAGCTGCAGGCAATGAAGGTGCATTACGCCTGAAACGCTTTACTTACTCACAGCACATATGCACTTTAGACCTGAGGCCGCTCTTAGTGAAGAAAACCTGATAATAAATCATCAATCACATATATTAATGTAACGCGTTTAAATAAACGAAGGGAGGAAGCACAGATGTTGGTCAAATCTGCTAAATGCTCAAAGAGGACTCATAGAGTAGCTCTCTGTGCTTTGAGTCAGGACTAAAAGAGAACAGAAATCACACCCAAAACAAAAATAAAAACAGAAAAACAAAGTTAAAATAATATTTTCTTGGTGGTATTGAAGGAGGGGGAGGAGGCTGCTCAATGCTATTGTCAACTGACGGCAGAGAGACTGCAGGGGTCCTCCTGAACTCCATGCACCCGCACGCTCCAGTTAGCAAGTGAAGCGCAAGAACACAGACAATCGGGACCCTCCCCATCACTTCCTGAGAACACGCTTCCCAACATGCCCTCATGTAGCCTGGGCCCCAAATCACCCCCGCCCCCGACTGCCCACGCCTCCTTCTCCCACTCCTCCTTCCTCTGTCACACAAACAAACCATCAGCTTGATTTTAACATCGTTCCGCTTCACGACACAGTCCCACGTGAGAAAACGTTTGTTGCATGTGTGCTGTTTTTTGTCACAACTTAAAATCTTCAGATGATTTGCTCGACTTTGTTCTACTCGCCTTGATACTGATGGCAACACAAGTTTCTCCTCACTGTGCTGCAGCCTGGCAAAGCTTCACGTTGCATCATGTGTCGCAGGCACGATACAACATTTCAAGGGAACTAAAGTTAAACAGTAAATGAGGAACATTTATTCTTCCCTCCATTTTTGGGGTGCTTTGCGTCAATAGTGGGCGTGGAAAGACTCTGGTAAATTCAATTTAAGACTGTGACACCTCAGTTATTTTTGGAGGAGGCAACACGCAATGCTTTTTTTAAGACTTTAATATCTGAACATGCATTTCTATTTCTTCTGCTCACTGGGTGCATGCAGGTACAACAGAAAGGCTTTTACACTGCGTGTGAGTGTGTGTGAAGCTCAGTGAGTCCGAGGTCATCCTCTTCCACTTTCACCAAAAACAGACCTGTACCTAAATATAGCCTCCTCAGCTGCCACGCTACCACGTTTAGAAACGCCAGAACCCATCCTTACTCTGCAACTCCTCCATTTCACCCCCCATCAACACAGACACACCCAACTCTGACTTCCTCATTATCAATTAATTACGGTACTTAATCATCAAGTCTAGAAAACTTAAAAGCTCCTCAGTGAAAAGCAGTTGGGAAGCTGGAGATGGTAAATGATTGATAAAATAAACTGAAATTATTACTTTGATTATCTAACAGTTGCTGATTAACTTTCTGTCTGTGAGTTTTTAAATCAGCCTGTTACAGCTCTGAACGTGTTTGTAACTTGAACCACTCTTCTTTAAAAAGGGTTGTTTACAGGCACAACCGATAGCAACAAGAAAAATTAAGAAAAATAAAATGTCAACCTCAACTTCCCAGAGACCAATGTTGGCATATTCAACACATAACATTTAAATCATATATTATTTGTGTCCACTGACTTATTGATTCATCCTCTCAGATCTGACCTGATGACGTCAAAACAAATTCGAGCAGCAAAAACATGCAGCGCTGTGTTGGTTGGAACTACAGCAGTCAGGTCACCTCAGTGTTTGGTGCTCCACTATGACAGCACACAAGTTGTCCTGCATGCATTCAAACGAGGACATTATAGAGGCTCCTCCTGGTGAGGACCTCTGATGGGAAAAATATGGCCATGACCATTGAGGCCATCAACCATCAAAAACTTTTTTTTTACCACTTAATTACAAATTGAAGCAATAAAAGCTCAGAAGAATATGAAGAAAAGTATTTTTACTCTGGATAAAAATGCATTTTTTTGTGTTTTTAAACACAACTTTAGCAGCCATGTCCTACTCTTGAAACAGAGCTAGGTGTAACACAAGACACGCTGCAGACTCAACAACTGTGGCATTTAAGTGTCTGTTTAGTCACTTCAAGGAAGTCCCAACTTGGAGTCTCAGAGGAAGTGAAATTAGCTTTTCCTGGTGAACAACAGACGTATGCAGCTCTGGATCCAACATGACCACTAACTGGCACGTTCAAGGAGCGATGCAAACACGGAACATCACCTGCCCGTCTCACTGCTCTGATTCTCCCTTCAAAAACCATCAAAGTGTGTACAATAAAGTCACATTCGCAGAGCGAGGTTTGCGGCTCGTGCTCCAACACTATGCGTGTCCCTGGTAACCACAGTGCGATGGAGCCGTGGGACAGCTGGGCTTAAGCTGAGCATGAGCGTGATGGCTCGGCCTGGTGATGAGTCAGATTTAACAGCACTGAGGTGAGAGCGCTGTGACGCCCACAACCTTCAATCACCTGGATTCAAAAGGTACAACTGACCAGGTAGATGTGCAAAGAAAAGTTTATCTAACATTCACAAAATGCAAATATACACCCAGCAGTGTAAATATGTAGATGTGTGACAGCTCAAATTTGGATTATCAACAGAAACTGAGGATGTTTCTTCTATTTTTCTCCTGGCTCTTGCCTTTTAGGACCAATTTTTCATGAAATTGAGTTGTATTTGTTTTGGGATCCTCGTGAATCTCTCACTTCCACTGAAAACGCTTCAACGTCAGTTGGCCTCCATCTATACGTTTCCTGTGAGTCTGTATCCAAACACACTACTTTTTAACAGCTGGACCTCGCAAATGTGGAAACAAAAGAAAAAAGGCTGCTCTGTGAAATAACCACAACGCTGCTGCAAAAGCCCCCAATAATGACATGCTTCTTAAGAAATCTGCTAAAACTGAGCAGTTCTGTTGTTGAGCCGTTGCATGACAGGACATCCAGCTGTGGCGCAATGCAGCGCCACTCTCGTATACGACTTGGCTGCGACTACTTGGCCGATTTTAGAGGTGAAGTTTTATGATCTCATTTTAAGAGTGCGCCTCCTAATACAACTGCAACTCAAGTAGGATTTAGAGAATATTGAACATTACTTTGCAGAGTTGACCTTGAAAACAAGTTTTGTTCCTCTAATCTTACATTTATCAGACTTTAACTTTACGTTTGGACCTGTCAACTTCAACACGCTGACAAGTTTACATGAAAGTTTACCCATTCAAAGCTGTTTTCAAGCACAACGTGCTAAATGATCCACTTGCTTGCATCGCAAATCTGTTTGGCAACTGCATTTTTTTCTAAATTGGCCATAAAATTCATATTACTCATTACCAACCTATCATTAAGTGTTCATCATATTTGTGATATAAAAAATCTGCATCCACACAGGGTTGTAGACAATCATCAAATACAACAATAAAAAAACATGTGCTCGCTGATAAAAATGGTAGAAAGTAAAAGTTTAATTTGCTAATAAGCTGCTGAATTAAAACCACTAAGTCCTGCACTGATTGTGTCACACACACACACACACCTGTGGATGGTTGGACATTATTGTTGCCCACAGCCTCAGATGCTGCAAAACTAAATTCCCTCCTTAAATAATACATCTTGGTTCTCCTCATGCCAACAGCATCTCTCGGGAGTCAGTGGGAGATGTGTGTGGACAAGCAAAAACACAAACAGCTTGTTCCCTGTTGCAAGAAGGCTCGAGTTATCCTGCAAGATGCATCCAGTTCACATAGGGGGAAAAAAAAAAAAAAAGGTTTTGCATGTGACAATTTAAAAACGCACTGCATGGATTGTTGTGCATCCGCTGCAGGCTTCATAGTTAGATCACTGCACCGCTGCAAAAAACAACAACAACAAAAAAACAACCAAGTGCCTTTGTTATCATATAGGAGATGAGTAATATGGAGCTGGGCTGCAGATCTGATCGATATAAAAGCTCCATCCCTCCCTGCTGCGCTCTCACGGGCGCATGGCTGCTGCCCAAGGAGAGGTGCGTGAAAACCAATGACAGCAACACCGTGTAAATTACGAATCACAGAAAAAAAATAAGGCTCCTCTGCCCATTCAACGCCACCAACATGTGTTGTGTTGGCATTCATCTTGTATTTCCACCCACCGCTGTCATCTTGGACGCGGGCAGAGACGCGCTGTTCCACACGGCGAGGGAGCGAAATCAAACGGTTTACGCAGGAACAAAAAAAAAAAAAACGGGATATTTCAAGAAATTTCGACGCCTCCTTTGTGGGGGTCGATTGTTGAAATGAGGTTGTGTAGGGAGGGAAATGACAGACACACACACACACGGTGGACAAACAACGTAAACACACACACCGCGACGCGGAAGGAAGGAAGGTCCTTGTTAAATCCCCAGTCACACAATGCCAGCACCGACACGACGAGCCGTGGGAATTTAAACCGCGCAGACACGACTGGATGACGGGTAAAAACACCCGCTGTCCCCGCGTGGACGACAACCCCCTCCCTCCTTCGTAGTGAATACGCTCCCACGCACATTTGCACCCACCGCACACGGGCTGGGCCTCGGGTTTGTTTTCCCGTCAGCGCGTCGAGGCCTCGCTGCAGCCGCGGCCCCCAGTGAAGCGACGCATTGGCGCACACGCGCCCCGCACTCGGCGTCCCCTTGCCTCCGCCGCCGCCGCCGCCGCTCGGCTTCCCGTCTCTTATTTTCTTAAATCTCTTACCGGGTCCGAGGGCTTCCATGGCCGAGGCCTCTCTCTCCGTCTCTGTCCCGGCCTGACGGCTCCGTACCGACGCTGAAATTGGGGGCGGTATCGCGAAGCTTAAAGGGGCTAATTTAAGAAAAGGGAATAAAGATAGATGCGTGGACGACTGGACCGAGGAGCCGAACCACCGCCGCTGCTGCTTCTGGAGATTTGTAACTGCGCATGCGCCACCTACAGCCCACAGTGCGCATGCGCAATTCCCCTCGAGCGCACTGGCTGATCCAACTTTAATGATCCAGAGGAGGACACAGACATTTATTTATTTAT